GATGTCAGCTATGGTCTCTTCAGGGTATATTCCCAGTAGTGGAATTGCTGGGTCAAATGGTATCTCTATTTGCACCTTTTTGAGAAAGCGCCATAATGCTTTCCACAGGGGTTATTTCTAAGCCTAAATGACATAATTTAACCATACTTCTGAAGGTTTAAGAAAATTACTTTTCTGCTGAACTCAAAATCATATTGATTTTCTGTTGTTTACAAAATTTTATTAATTTGTGTACAGTCTTTCATATGCATCATGTTTTGTACATATACTTTGTGTTCTCTACATTCATACATGTTGTATTTTATATAAATAATTACCATTGCTCTATACCTATAATCATCCTGTCTTTTCAAGCCCCCATTAAACCTTTCCTATTATTTCAGACCCCAACCCCAACCATTAACCTGGAGAGCACTACACTGAGTGAACTATCTCAGTCACATAAAGACAAATATTGCATAAGGTCAATATTGTAATAACAGGAGAATAACTGAGTAATATATGTATAAATGTTCAAAAGGGAAAGGAGAGAAGTGGGGCAGAAAAACGGAAAGGGGAAAAATAGTGTGAAAACTATACTACTTTTTATCCTGTAAAGGTAACCCATGAAATTGTTGAAAATAGTGAAAACAATCATGAAAGCTATTAGAAATAAAATGTTATAGTAATAAGATCACTACTTTTCACATATTTAAATATTATATCTGAATTCTTTGAAATTTACTATTATTAACAGAACACAGTCACATATAACACAATTCATACTGTTGTTGTTGTTATGTGCCGTCGAGTTGTTTGCGACGCATAACGACCCTATGTACAACAGCCCTAAACCCTACTCTATCCTGTGCCAATCACATGGTCTCTGACACACCCATCCCGATTACCCCAGTCACTGAATCAGTCCACTTCATAGAGGATCTTCCCCTCCTGCGCTGTCCCTCCACCTTACCAAGCATGATGTCTCTCTCCAAGGACCTGTCTGTCCTTACAACATGTCCAAAGTATGTCAGATGAAGCCCCAGAATCCTTGCCTCCAAGGAGTAGCCTGGTTTAACCCT